TAGTTGACGCAAAACGCGTTGGCATTGGCTGTGGTTTTGTCGAAATTGACACAAATCTGGTTATAGCCATCATCACCACGAATCGGTTTAATCGTAAAGTGATTGATGTTCACGATATTGATATTTAAATTCAACTTTTTTGAATTGAACACTTCGTTTTGCCGTTTATTCATAACTTTGATATATTGTAAAACACACTCTAAATACATAAAAACTGCTTATATATTATATTACACTAGGAATATATTATTATAAATATATTATTATAAATTCATGTCATAAGTGTTCAAACGGTGTGTGAGACAATTGAGACAAATTAGTTATCAGCGCGACATAATAGTCATTTATCGCACAGTTATCACCACAAATAGCATTGTATCGCAATTAAAAACGCCAGTTCCTTCACTTGGCTGCCTTTCCACTCCAAACGGCACTCACTGTTCAAATGAATGCATAAATAAATGAGTTCTGAATGATTTTATATTAAATATAATTTAGAGAAATATAATTATATTTCAAGAACACAGCCGTTGGCTATAAAACGCGAAAACTTTTTGATGAAATGTCTTCTTATGTATAAGACTTTAGGCTTAAAATCGGTGTAAAAATAATTTATGTTTTCACTATTTTTGAGGCTATTTCTCGCAAACAAAACTCAGAATAAACCTCAAACTCAAAGATTTAGACTGTTTTTAATCACAGAATCAGTCATACAATGTTTATTTGACAGCAAATCCTTGATATAACAGTCACTCGCAGATCAACGCTGAAACTAAAAGTAGTTTTTGCTGTCGAGAGAACTCTCTCTCTCTCTCTCTCTCTCTCTCTCTCTCTCTCGCCTATAGAAAACTCTGTGTTTATATTCTGTATTAAGTAAATAGGTTTACATGCATTTACATGAAATTATACTTATTCTCACACAACACGACTAATCCAATGATAATGTATAATTTACGATACACTCTATTAACCGCATACCAGATATAAAAATTAAAGTGTGATTCGCTTCATATAAAACTGTTGTCTGACTTTAAACTAAATTAATGTTTCGTAGAGTTATTACAGCCGTGTGTATACTGTGCCCTACTGTATAATACTGTATAATTTTCTAGTTTATTGTGAATCGCTATTTACTGTTCACTGCCATTGATGTATTACCACTGTACTATTGTAGTTTTATTTGATATATAAATTATAATGGTATTATAGTATTTGTACAATTGATATGATTTATATAATTCGTTCTCATGTTTAGATAACAAAAACAAAAGCCATAAATACATTTATTTTTTTCTGAAAAATGTATATTCATTTGAATGTTTATATATATTCTGGAAATGTCTAAAGTTTTGGATTGAATTCAAAATTTTCTTTGTTATAATAAATTTATTTTATTTTTTACTGATTTTTGTTGGTGTCGTCTGTAGAGAAGAAAAAGTTGTGAAACTTTTTCCCTAATTTTAGTTTTTTATTTTTAAAATAGAGATAATTTAAATGAATTTTAAGATTACACAGAAAAGTGAACCCAAACATTGTATAATTATTTTTTCTAACTTACACATATAATAACAAAAATTGCATTCTTACTAAATAACCAAGCATAATGACAAACATTGGATCAGCAAGCTTAACGTTATAATTTAATTTATAATTTGACGTTATTATATAGATTTTAAAATACATGCATTTACTTAAAAACTAATTAATAGTGAAAATTCTTGATGAATGACAGGTAAGTGGAAAAAATAATTTATTAGAAAATCGCAATCAAATAACTAAAACTTGTTTTCTCTCGCATTAAACCAAACGAAAGGTCAGATTATTATGACATCAATGAGAGTGAAAACAAGAAAAAATAGGTCTCAACCCCTCTGATCGCGATCATCGATCGCTAGTTTGCAAATGAAATCAATGTTTTTTGATGAGCGAAAATCATCGATTAAATCATGGCTTAACTCAACGTATGATCGATTGAATAAAGTTTTTATTGTATTTTTTCGCATAGAAATTACTCGAATATACTGTATATTCAGTGAATACTCAATACATATAGTTGTGTATAATTTAATGCCACCTAAATTGTCAGTACAAGAATCGCATAATATTATATCTAATAAGACATTGTCTCATAATTTTTGGGAATTAAACTTTTAATATAGCAGGTATTTATGCATTTAGTCTTATATTTTTTTTATATATGCTATATTTGTTAGCTGTAATTAATATTTTATCATTTAATTAACATAACATTTCGACAGTGTTTGCATTAAGCCAAAATGTTTTAAATAACTTATGCATGGTGGAAAAGCATAGCTCGAAAACAGTTACTTAAACTTAATTATCATTCATTTCCAGAGTTTGAGTTAAAATGCTTTTCTCAGACATAACTGTAATGTTGTTTTAATTGAAATGCTCTGGCATTTGATGCAAAAGTATTTTTTGGTGATCTCTATCTAATTCTTATGCAAATATATTATAATATAATATAAATATTTATTCTGTATATTGAATGTGCGGGTGCTTTGTCACCACTGTTTTGTCTATTTTATTGCCAAATGCTATAAATATATTAAGTTATAGTATAGGCATCCAAAGACATTAATGTTGTATAGTATAACTGTCATAAACTTTTGATTATTGCAATTAAATTCTGTATACATATCTCAAGTAAATTTTATATATACGACAAAACAATTTTATGGCATAATAAATGTTTACTATACAAAAACTATATTTTGTATATAAGTTAAAGTAGTGTAATTTTGATGAATTATTAAAATTTTTATACAAAACTCCTTTAAATCTTATGAATTTCGATAACCCCTTATCTTTATGCATAGAAATGAAAATATAATGAAAATAATGACCTTTTAATGCAATCCTGGGAATAATCTAATCAAAATGCATATTAAATTTGGGAATTTTTCTGGCATAACTATGGGATTGCCTATATATCATCCTAAAATTCATGGCATATAGTGTTTAACATATAAAAATTTATTTATTTAAAACCCATAAATACCTCGAGAAGTGAACACAGAATCTTAATAAGATTTGAATTAAAATCGATTTTCATAATCAATAAACCATTTGCTGGGCACATTTTTTGATGTCTAGTAAATTAGGTCATTATATCCCCTTACCATCCCTTATCCAAACGGTAAATAATCCGTATCCCGCTACTTATAAATTATTTGTGTAATATAAAAGTCCATTTCATTTGTACTTTTATATTAAATAATGTTTGAGTTCATCACTAGTAATATAGCGCTAAATGTTTGCGTTTGGAAACAAATAAAAAAGTTTTTCTCTCTATTTATTCATTCGCTATATTCAGCTATGAATTCGTGTTTTCATGTGTTATTCAAATCTATCAAACATTTTCATTCAATCATTTATTAGATGTTATATTATTTAACGAAACAAAAAATATATAGATATTTAGTTCATTAATATCACGTAATCGCGTAAACAATTTATGAGCGAAAATATTTATCATAAGTTTTTAATGAAATATAATAATAAACAAAAAAGTTATAATAATTACACGAAATCATAGGCAAAGTGGGGATTCACTGATGGCTCGTCTTATCATTTGAATGCTTCAAGAGATTTGTGGCGAAAAAAGTCTGGAAATAATAGCGAAGACATCATCACTTCATTAGGTGCCAAAGGATTGCAATGAAAAGTATGACTAATATTATAGACACTATTCACACAACCGAAAGGAAATCTACTATTTTTTCCCGCTGTCTGTCTGTCCATTCAATCAGTCATTTCCTTCTCAAGTGTTTCGTAAACCATACATACGATAGACATTCACATGAATACTAAATCATTAATGCAGTGATTATTATAGCGAAAGGAGTCTTATCTCAAGAATCTTATGTATTCTCGTAATTGACTTATAATTCATAGAAATATTAGCAACACTTTGATAGAGAAAAAAATGAAAATTTATTTTTAATGTTTAGTTCATTCATTAATATAACGATTAATATACATATAAAACACGTAAACGTTTGCACAATAAATGCTATTTAATATAATTTTCGCAATCAATTCATGTAATCGTTAAATAACTGATGAAATACACACTATATATGAATTTTATTATATACACACACATGACTATACAAAAGTATACAGAATATCTATGCTATCATATATATAAACTATATTTTTATATACAGTATATCTATTACTTGTATATATGATATCGCTTTTGATAAAGTTTTTTCGACTTTTAAGCATTAATTGACAAAAACTTTTTTATTTCAATGAATTTCTATAAGTTTCAGCGAAAACGACACGGAATTGACAGTAAAAACACAAATATTATGCAAACACTTGATTACATACTCTCTGCCTATTCTCGCAGTGAATAACTCACAGAATATTCTTATATATATTCTTAAAGAATCAATCGATTGATTCCCTAAAAAAGAGGGCGTTTGTGGCACACAAATACAGTCGCGTTCATAGTTTTATAGACAATGCGCGTATAAGGTTCACAGTTTAAGTCAACAAAAATCGATAAAATACATGATTTGCATTGAGTATGACTGAGGATTTTTCACACCCACCCATAAAACATCATACTTACAGTATTCAGTGCTAATCAATCACCACAAAAATACCGCTAAACTTTGCTTGCTACTTATCGTAGACTGTTTCATGTTAATTAGTAAATTCATATGCAGTATATAGAAATCATCCAGGCACCGGTAACATTTCTTAAGGTAACTTTTCCAGCATAAGTGGGAGGGAGAGTACAGCATAGACTGCCCAGGCATTAGACGAACCCTCATATGTATGACTCACTGAAATGACGAGTCAAATGATATTATGATAATAACAAACACTGCATAACATTATGAATGCCGTCGACTGCTAGCGCCGCATAGCGTTAGCATTGACTACAACGCTATAACCACTACTAAACACAACTCGCGTAACACTAGAGGGCGCTAACAGTGGACTCCATTCACAGGGTTTGCAATCACTTTCAGCCAATACAAGCAGTCGTTGTCCGACATCAAACACATCCCATGCAGTGATTATCACCTAAACTATGGATACATTTACCACCAAATCATGGCAAACAGCGCCGAGACAGTGATGCTCTCAAACAGTGGTAAATCTGTGGACAATTACTCGTCATTTGATAGCTTAAGACACAAGCAGTCATCCGATGAGGATATGATCGACATTAAGAGCGCTTCCAGTGTTTCCGTAAACAATACTCTCGATACGAAAGGTATTGTCACCACTCCTCACACCTCCCATACCATTGTCTTACCACTCGGTGTCCACACCATTAACCATAACCACCACTTCTACCCCTCCATGTCTTCACGTGTTGTTTACTTTTATGTCGTTATCTCTAATGTCTTATCTTTTTAACAATTATTTTGTTTGGTTTCCAATGATTGTGTCAAATGTATGACTAATTGAGTCATCAGATGATTACCTCAAGAGTGTCGGTGGTCTCGATGTGAAGACAATTGTGTCTAACAAATGAATGTCTATTTAATTAACACATGATATCAGTGTCCGATAAGATTGTGTCAATCGCTTGACACCACTGTATATGACATACGCTTTCAATACTAATCGCTTGAATGGTTCCCCAGTTCTTGGACTTCGCGACTAATCTATAGTTTACTGATTATTGGATTAAATGAATGATTGGTGTCTTATATTTGGTGTCTATTTCTCTTAGGCTATAGTCCCGCATGTCTTACTCGTAATGCAAGTAATGCCACAAACCTTTTGATACAATTAGACACTATTGAGAGTAACACCGATTGCGAGAGTAGTGACAATCTAGTGGTCAGTACGCAGACAATGCACTCCCAATCGGTGTCCACCACTCCATCGACCACTTCGTCCGCCAATGAGTTCACAGAATTCGATACATTCCTTAAGTACTCCTCCAATGATAGCAATTGGAGTCCCACTCGAGGTCTGTGTCCGACGCCAACCGCCACCAAAAATCTATCGCTTCTTCAGCTGCCAATTCAAACACGACTTTTCATTTCATTTCTTATATTTTCTTTATTTTTATCTCAATTCCTATGCCATTCCTCTCACGCATACCTTTCCTTTAAATAACAACTTATATATCGATACACGAACTGATTGTATGACAAAATCAGTACAAAAATGCTGACAATTGTGTCGATTGAATAGATTTTATTAATCCTTTTGATTGTATTTATGGACAGAACTGGACGGCGAACTGCCCCCCAATCAGAGTCATTATGAGGACTTCCATACCATCGACTGGCAGCGGGATATCGCGAGGGATCGCATGAGACACCGGTTTATAGTGAAACGAAAACACAACTCCATTATCGAGTTGATTAAGTCGACGCACGACGCCTGGAGCGGTTGGCTATGCGTACTGTTGGTGGGCATAGCTGCCGGTGCTGTGGCCGGTGTCATAGACATAGGCGCCGGTTGGATGAAGGACTTGAAGGACGGCTTATGTCCCGCGGCTTTCTATCTCAATAGAGAGCAGTGTTGTTGGTCTTCGAACGATACAGAACTCGAAGGTCTGCCAGTCTTTACCGATAGCTCACGAATGGCTACAGTAATGCCTTTCCCCTCTACACTACAGGCACTCTGTGGACAGACAGTTGCGATCAGTGGAAGACGTGGCCCCAACTCATAGGCATCGGTAAGACAGCGCTGGTCGGCTCCTACATCGTGTCCTACTTTTTCTACATCATGTGGTCATTCATATTCGCACTGTTGGCCGCCTCGTTCGTGCGTACGTTCGCGCCGTACGCGTGCGGCTCCGGTATCCCCGAGATTAAGACAATACTCTCCGGTTTCATCATCAGAGGCTATTTAGGCAAATGGACGCTCACTATCAAGTCGTTGGGTATTTGATTGCTACCGAAACCCCCAAAAACTAGTGTTAATTGTTTGTATGTCATCCACAGGAATGATGTTAACAGTGGCGGCCGGCCTATCGCTGGGAAAGGAGGGCCCACTCGTGCACTGCGCCTGTTGTATAGGAAATATATTCAGTTACCTGTTCCCCAAATACGGCAAAAATGAGGCCAAAAAGCGAGAGATATTGTCGGCCGCATCGGCGGCGGGCGTTTCAGTGGCTTTCGGAGCCCCGATAGGAGGCGTACTCTTCTCCCTCGAAGAGGTGTCCTATTATTTTCCGCTCAAAACCCTGTGGCGGAGCTTCTTCTGCGCACTGGTAGCCGCTTTCGTGCTCCGGTCCATCAATCCATTCGGTAAGAGATTAACTCGTTATCTACCGGAGTCACTAATGCCTGTCCTCCCGTTCCCTCATAGGTACTGAGCATCTGGTGATGTTTTACATCGACTACACCCGGCCGTGGATTCTCTTCGAGTTGGTTCCCTTCATAATGTTGGGTGTCTTCGGGGGTCTAATCGGCAATATATTCATCAAAGCGAACCTCCGTTGGTGTCAACACAGGAAATACTCAAATCTGGGCCAATACCCCATATGGGAGGTGCTGGCGGTGACCCTGATAACGGCGGTCATAGCCTTCCCGAACCCCTACACTCGCATGAATTCGTCGGATTTGATCAAAATGTTGTTCAGTCCGTGCGGTATAGCCGATGAGACCCCTCTGTGTAACTATAACCGCAACTTCACGAACGTGAACGAACACGTCCAGATCGCACAGGCGGGTCCCGGTGTCTACCAGTCCCTCGGTTTGTTGATACTGGCGCTGGTGTTCAAACTGGTGATCACCATATTCACGTTCGGCATCAAAGTGCCGGCCGGTCTCTTCATACCGTCGCTGGCTATGGGCGCTATCATCGGTCGGATTGTAGGCATAACTATGGAACAGATCGCCTATAACTACCCGAAGTGGTGGGTGTTTCAGGACGCGTGCTCTAACTCTGGCGAGAGCTGTATGAGCCCCGGTATGACACATATTTGTACATAAATTCATTGACAATTATGTTAATGTGTTTTCTGTCGGATTCATAGGATTGTATGCAGTGGTGGGGGCGGCGGCGTGTCTGGGAGGTGTGACCCGAATGACAGTGTCGTTAGTGGTGATAATGTTTGAACTGACGGGTAATGTGAACTTCATTGTGCCGCTCATGACTGCCATAATGGCGGCCAAATGGGTGGGCGACGCGCTCGGCAAGAAGGGTGTCTACGACGCCCACATTGAGCTCAACGGCTACCCCTTTCTCGACAATAAGGAGGAGTTCCCGCACACGACGATAGCTGCGGACGCTATGAGGCCTAAGAGGAATGAGCCGCCGCTGGCTGTGCTGACCCAGGACTCGATGACTGTGGACGACATCGACAACCTCTTGAAGAGCACAAACCATAACGGCTTTCCAGTGGTGGTGTCCCTGGAATCGCAATATTTGGTTGGATTTGTGTCGCGAAAGGACTTGAGTCTAGCCTTAAGTAACGCCAAACGCACGTCAGAAGTGTTTGAGAACTCCATAGTGTTGTTCAGCACCGGGTCGGTGCCCACGGATCCCGTTCCCCAACCCATTAAACTCAGGCGTGTCGTCGATTTGGCGCCCATTACTATCACAGATCAGACGCCGATGGAGACAGTGATCGATATGTTCCGGAAGTTAGGTCTGAGACAAGTGCTGGTCACTCATAATGGGTAAGGATTTGTGGCATATTTGTGGGCATTTCCAGTGAATTTAATTGAATTTTTTTCCGTTTTAGGCGTTTATTAGGGATTATCACCAAAAAAGACATTTTATTACATCTGAAGGAATTCGAAGACTTAGACCCGGAATCGGTATTATTTCGATAGAAAATGAATGAATGAATTGTTTTATTTATTTTACGACAATATATATATATATTAAACATTTATTTTTTGAAACTGAATCAATGGTTAACCAATTGCTAAAGTGGCTGATTATGTGTCGATTATGTACGAGAAATGTCCAATAATTGTTATATTATTTATATTCTATACTGAACTCATTGAGTATATGACTAATTTAATTTATATTTAATTGATACCTTAAGTTAAATATACAGTACTGTACCTAAACAGCAATCACTGTTATGATTGAATCAATGGTTTTAGTTGATTGCAAACTTCTAATCATGTTTTTAATGTTTATTGAATTAAAAATATTGTTTTATTTAATTGAGTTTTTCGGAGTCTCAATGCAAACACTGAGCGCAACGTTATATTTGAAAGCAAATGTTACATACAATTCATGAATATTCTGCACCAGAATCGGAAAAGTGCGGCAAATACCTACCGTTCCCTTTAACGCACATACTTACTGTACAGCATAGGCAGCGATTGAGGGAACAACACATTTAAATACAACTCAAACACCAGTCATATGGTAATCACCGAGCACAACCACAAACAAATCACAAACAAATACTAAACATACACGTGCTCAACTAGCGCCGGTATTAAACTAAATCACTAATCGGACCGGTACGTGAACAAAAACAAAGCAAGCTAATTGGCGGACGTACTAACCTCTAGCCCCATGGCCTGCTCACCAATGGGAGTGCCAGTGCCTGTAGTGGCAGTGGAGGTGACGGGTGGCGCCATCGCATTTAGGTGCGGCCAGTCGTGTAGTGTCGCACACAATGTCTGCCTCCATCATGAAGTGGCGTAAAGTTGTGGGCAGTAGTGGTCCGGCGCCGCGGCCACGACACGGGCACCGGGCGGTCGCCATCAAGGACTTGATGATAGTGTTTGGCGGCGGCAACGAAGGCATCGTCGATGAGCTGCACGTCTTCAACACGAGTGAGTTTTCGGCGTTCCGGCGCCGCGGCCACGACACGGGCACCGGGCGGTCGCCATCAAGGACTTGATGATAGTGTTTGGCGGCGGCAACGAAGGCATCGTCGATGAGCTGCACGTCTTCAACACGAGTGAGTTTTCGGCGGTTTTTGGCGATCAATCGTTTTGTTATTATGTTTGCAAACACTATATATGTATGGCGTATATGTATAGGGCTTTCAATACATGTTTTTTGTGTGCTATCACTCTATGGCTGTATATATACGGCCCACTCATAGACGTGATCATAGATCGTATCGATCGGTATATATGGCTGTTATAGACGTTATATGAGAGCGAAAGCGCTGTGAAGTGTGTGTAAGAGTCGGTCATAAAAAGGTACGAAATATTGGGTCAGCCATGGGTACAGTGAATGCCGTTTATAGACAACACGCGCCTATTGACTGCCGATTAAAACTAAATTAATTGTAGTTTTAGGACATTATTTGCATTATACATGAATTTTTTCCTGGATACTAGTTATAAGATTTGTGTTTTAGTTTTAGAGTTGTAAATTGAGTTGTAATGTTAGCCAAATAGTCGGGTGAAATTAAAAACTAAAAGTTTTTTGTTATCAAATTATTTGTCAATAAATTATTTAATTTTTTATCGCACTTTTAATTGCATTTAAAAATACATTACGAAAATAAAATACGTTTAGAAATGCGAAACTTAACTTAACAAGTAAATATTTGTAAATATCCCGTTAAATAACTAGGTATGCATTTCAATTTGAATTAACTAGGAGGTACCCGATAGGGGAACGGGAGGTGCAACACCGGTAGGCTATGCATACAAGCAATGCTATGCTAGACATGTATTTAAAATCCAAAAGTTTTTTATATGCCATACATTTAGACACAAATGAATTAAAAGCTAATAAAAGTTGCAAATAATGACAAGTATTTGATGCCTTGATTACAACAACTGACCACAAATTGCGGACTCATTACAGCAACCAATCAATGGTTTGTACCGCAAGTGAAGGGAGATATCCCTCCGGGATGTGCTGCATATGGCTTCGTATGCGACGGCACGCGACTCCTGGTCTTTGGAGGAATGGTAGAGTACGGGAAGTACTCCAACGAGTTGTACGAACTGCAGGCGAGTCGATGGGAGTGGAAGCGCCTGAAGCCCAGACCACCCAAGACGGGCGCCAACTACCCGTGCCCTCGGTTGGGCCACTCGTTCACACTGATTGGCAATCGGGTGTTCCTGTTCGGAGGGCTGGCCAACGATTCCGATGATCCCAAGAATAATATTCCGAGGTATGGATCAGTTGTTGATGAGGTGTATGTGTTGAGCGACTAATGGTTGTGTGTGTTTGTTGGGCACAGGTATCTGAACGATCTGTTTGTGCTGGAGATGAGGCCCTACTCGAACGTCATGCAGTGGGAGTTACCGCAAATCCACGGCACGCCTCCCCCGCCCCGTGAATCTCATATCATTCAAGCGATTAGTATTGAAAGCGTATGTCATATACAGTGGTGTCAAGCGATTGACACAATCTTATCGGACACTGATATCATGTGTTAATTAAATAGACATTCATTTGTTAGACACAATTGTCTTGACATCGAGACCACCGACACTCTTGAGGTAATCATCCGATGACTGAATTAGTCATACATTTGACACAATCATTGTTAAAAAGATAAGACATTAGAGATAACGACATAAAAGTAAACAACACGTGAAGACATGGAGGGGTAGAAGTGGTGGTTATGGTTAATGGTGTGGACACCGAGTGGTAAGACAATGGTATGGGAGGTGTCAGGAGTGGTGACAATACCTTTCGTATCGAGAGTATTGTTTACGGAAACACTGGAAGCGCTCTTAATGTCGATCATATCCTCATCGGATGACTGCTTGTGTCTTAAGCTATCAAATGACGAGTAATTGTCCACAGATTTACCACTGTTTGAGAGCATCACTGTCTCGGCGCTGTTTGCCATGATTTGGTGGTAAATGTATCCATAGTTTAGGTGATAATCACTGCATGGGATGTGTTTGGTGTCGGACAACGACTGCTTGTGTTTTGGTTACCCAACGGTATTGGCATTCAAGTAATTGCAAACCCTGTGAATGGAGTCCACTGTTAGCGCCCTCTAGTGTTACACGAGTTGTGTTTAGTAGTGGTTATAGCGTTGCAGTCAATGCTAACGCTATGCGGCGCTAGCAGTCGACGGCATTCATAATGTTATGCAGTGTGCAGTTATTATCGTAATATCATTTGACTCGTCATTTCAGTGAGTCATACATATGAGGGTTTGTCTAATGCCCGGGGAGTCTATGCTGTACTCTCCCTCCCACTTACTATAAACAAATGCTGCAAAAGTTACCTTAAGAAATGTTACCGGTGCCTGGATCATTTCTATATACTGCATATGAATTTACTAATTAACATGAAACAGTCTATGATAAGTAGCAAGCAAAGTTTAGCGGTATTTTTGTGGTCATTGATTAGCACTGAATACTGTAAGTATGGTGTTTTATGGGTGGGTGCGAAAAATCCTCAGTCATACTCAATGCAAATCATTTATTTTATCGATTTTTGTTGACTTAAACTGTGAACCTTATACGCGCATTGTCTATAAAACTGTTAGCGCGACTGTATTTGTGTGTCACAAACGCCCTCTTTTTTAGGGAATCAATCGATTGATTCTTTAAGAATATATATAAGAATATTCTGTGAGTTATTCACTGCGAGAATAGGCAGAGAGTATGTAATCAAGTGTTTGCATAATATTTGTGTTTTTACTGTCAATTCCGTGTCGTTTTCGCTGAAACTTATAGAAATTCATTGAAATAAAAAGTTTTTGTCAATTAATGCTTAAAAGTCGAAAAAACTTTATCAAAAGCGATATCATATATACAAGTAATAGATATACTGTATATAAAAATATAGTTTATATATATGATAGCATAGATATTCTGTATACTTTTGTATAGTCATGTGTGTGTATATAATAAAATTCATATATAGTGTGTATTTCATCAGTTATTTAACGATTACATGAATTGATTGCGAAAATTATATTAAATAGCATTTATTGTGCAAACGTTTACGTGTTTTATATGTATATTAATCGTTATATTAATGAATGAACTAAACATTAAAAATAAATTTTCATTTTTTTCTCTATCAAAGTGTTGCTAATATTTCTATGAATTATAAGTCAATTACGAGAATACATAAGATTCTTGAGATAAGACTCCTTTCGCTATAATAATCACTGCATTAATGATTTAGTATTCATGTGAATGTCTATCGTATGTATGGTTTACGAAACACTTGAGAAGGAAATGACTGATTGAATGGACAGACAGACAGCGGGAAAAAATAGTAGATTTCCTTTCGGTTGTGTGAATAGTGTCTATAATATTAGTCATACTTTTCATTGCAATCCTTTGGCACCTAATGAAGTGATGATGTCTTCGCTATTATTTCCAGACTTTTTTCGCCACAAATCTCTTGAAGCATTCAAATGATAAGACGAGCCATCAGTGAATCCCCACTTTGCCTATGATTTCGTGTAATTATTATAACTTTTTTGTTTATTATTATATTTCATTAAAAACTTATGATAAATATTTTCGCTCATAAATTGTTTACGCGATTACGTGATATTAATGAACTAAATATCTATATATTTTTTGTTTCGTTAAATAATATAACATCTAATAAATGATTGAATGAAAATGTTTGATAGATTTGAATAACACATGAAAACACGAATTCATAGCTGAATATAGCGAATGAATAAATAGAGAGAAAAACTTTTTTATTTGTTTCCAAACGCAAACATTTAGCGCTATATTACTAGTGATGAACTCAAACATTATTTAATATATTTCATGTTTACTTTACCTGAAAATATAATGTGTTTATTAAATATTCNCTTTTCTCAGACATAACTGTAATGTTGTTTTAATTGAAATGCTCTGGCATTTGATGCAAAAGTATTTTTTGGTGATCTCTATCTAATTCTTATGCAAATATATTATAATATAATATAAATATTTATTCTGTATATTGAATGTGCGGGTGCTTTGTCACCACTGTTTTGTCTATTTTATTGCCAAATGCTATAAATATATTAAGTTATAGTATAGGCATCCAAAGACATTAATGTTGTATAGTATAACTGTCATAAACTTTTGATTATTGCAATTAAATTCTGTATACATATCTCAAGTAAATTTTATATATACGACAAAACAATTTTATGGCATAATAAATGTTTACTATACAAAAGCTATATTTTGTATATAAGTTAAAGTAGTGTAATTTTTATGAATTATTAAAATTTTTATATAAAACTCCTTTAAATCTTATGAATTTCGATAACCCCTTATCTTTATGTATGGAAATGAAAATATAATGAAAATAATGACCTTTTAATGCAATCCTGGGAATAATCTAATCAAAATGCATATTAAATTTGGGAATTTTTCTGGCATAACTATGGGATTGCCTATACATCATCCTAATATTCATGGCATACAGTGTTTAACATATAAAAATTTATTTATTTAAAACCCATAAATACCTCGAGAAGTCAACACAGAATCTTAATAAGATTTGAATTGAAATCGATTTTCATAATCAATAAACCATTTGCTGGGCAAAAAAAACTACAGATCATTTAATCCAGTAATATAGGGGAATGGTAGGGAATAGGTTTGCCATTTATTAGGCATAGGGCGATGAATATTTAATAAACACATTATATTTTCAGGTAAAGTAAACATGAAATATATTAAATAATGTTTGAGTTCATCACTACTAATACTAGTAATATAGCGCTAAATGTTTGCGTTTGGAAACAAATAAAAAAGTTTTTCTCTCTATTTATTCATTCGCTATATTCAGCTATGAATTCGTGTTTTCATGTGTTATTCAAATCTATCAAACATTTTCATTCAATCATTTATTAGATGTTATATTATTTAACGAAACAAAAAATATATTGATATTTAGTTCATTAATATCACGTAATCGCGTAAACAATTTATGAGAGAAAATTATTTATCATAAGTTTGTTTTTAATGAAATATAATAATAAACAAAAAAAAGTTATAATAATTACACGAAATCATAGGCAAAGTGGGGATTCACTGATGGCTCGTCTTATCATTTGAATGCTTCAAGAAATCTGGAAATAATAGCGAAGACATCATCACTTCATTAGGTGCCAAAGGATTGCAATGAAAAGTATGACTAATATTATAGACACTATTCACACAACCGAAAGGAAATCTACTATTTTTTCCCGCTGTCTGTCTGTCCATTCAATCAGTCATTTCCATCTCAAGTGTTTCGTAAACCATACATACGATAGACATTCACATGAATACTAAATCATTAATGCAGTGATTATTATAGCGATAGGAGTCTTATCTCAAGAATCTTATCACAAGAATCTTATGTATTCTCGTAATTGACTTACAATTCATAGAAATATTAGCAACACTTTGATAGAGAAAAAAATGAAAATTTATTTTTAATGTTTAGTTCATTCATTAATATAACGATTAATATACATATAAAACACGTAAACGTTTTGCACAATAAATGCTATTTAATATAATTTTCGCAATCAATTCATGTAATCGTTAAATAACTGATGAAATACACACTATATATGAATTTTATTATATACACACACATGACTATACAAAAGTATACA